ACCAAGAGAGACTCAGACAGAACAGATGCACCTGGTAGCTTTAACACACAACCAAGTCAGGCTACCAGGAGTACGTGTGCCAGTGCTTCTCTTCTGAAGCACGGCTTAAGTTCTCAAGGGAAGCTATCCATTTCCTTTCCATTCTTGGAAGACACCCTATCCCAAATTGCCAGAAAAGGAGGGCTGAGAAAAGCATAAAGGTTTTAGCTACAACGGCTGCCACAGTGCAGAACAGAATCACTATTTGCCAGGTCATGAATGCATTTTGGATCAGACACCCTGGATGGCTGCTGATCCCCAGGATTTAATCTCCTATTTGCTTTCTAGAAACAAGAACTATCTCCTGTCACATTTCTTCACAGTAACACCAGATTACAAAGACAAGAATGTATTATGAAGAGAGATCCGAAACTTAAACCCACTACCCCATCCCCTCAGTCTACACCGACAGTATCTAGCTGGCCTTACAGAAAGCAGGGTAAATAGACTATATTGAAGTGCAAATCCAGTGTAGAGAGAATTCTACTCTGCCCTTAACATTGCCATCAAAACAGCCAAGGGACTCAGGAGTCACTTCAACTGTTAAGGACATGACTGATCTGCAGAGAAGACAGAAAGCCACTGATCTGCTTTAACTGTAATCAGCACTTGCCTTCAACGAGGTCACTGGGCCATCTAACACATGCCTCTTTCCTATCCTGTTTGTCCTGCATGGTCTTGTCTTCACAGGCTTGGAATAGGATCGCACGGCCTGCCTTTTAAACCCACCCAAGACCCCCAAGTCCGAAAGAGAGGTGGCAAACGTTAGCAACAAGTGATGGGACAGGAACAAAAATATTACTTCAGTATTTCCTGCACTTGCCTTCATCTATTTATTTTGCAAGCCTTTATTTTCAAAGGTAATTTACAAACAAGAAGCAAGATAACCATTTGTTCAGACAAAGGTTAATAGGGGTCTAGTGGTCTCTGAAGACTCTGCAGTTGCACTTAGGTGTGAAATTTTGGAGCAGCAATAAAGATGCTGCACAGACAGACAAGTCTCAAGAGGAGGATTTAATCTGTTTAGCTATTCTCATTATATACATAGTTTTCAGCTTCCATTCACAGCAGTCAGAGCCGAGACAGCTTCCAGAGGCCTTTTTGCACATTAAACCATGAAATAGGATTTTTATGTCAGTCATTCTTTTTTCCCTCCTTAGCCAGCTTGAAGAGTCAATGTTTGAAAGGGTTATTGCTGAAAAGACGACATGGTGTTTGGGCAGAAAGAATCGACAGGAGAAAGGCAGAACAAATCTTTGGCAGATTGGTGGCACTTGGCACAAATGAGTTCCTACTGGCATCACCTTCCTAGAAAACCTCTAATAGGCTACTTGTCCTGGTAGTCCCCCTGCAAAAAAGCTTTTTCTGTCAAAAAAAGCTTACCCTGCACAGAGTAAGTAGGGATAAAGCACCACATTCAGAGACCTGCTTCACTGGAACAGGGACGCGGTTTCAGTTACATCCAACCATCCTGCTCCTAACATCACTTGAAGCCTAAACACAGCACAACGACAAGGTGAGAAAACTAGAGGCAGGCATCTAGGACAACAGGGCTGATCCAAAACCAGGGCTTTCTTTTAAGACTGCATTGTCCATCTGTCCTCTTGCTACAGGGCAAGAAACAGCCTGCAAGAAAAGTCCTTGTTTGCCCACTGAAACGTGGAACCTGAATTATTCAGACAAAGGAGAACTTAAAACAGAAAAAGAAAGTCAAGAAAATAGAGCAAATTCTCTAGATGCTGGAATCCCCCAGGAGAGAGAGAAGAAATCCCTGTGCTCTTGAGGCATCTCACTCCTCCATTTTGCTTTCATGTTGTCTTTCCCCCTTCGGACAGGAGTTTTCAGCTCTCTCACGTGTCTCAGACCCCACTTCTGTGCACAAGCTTGGACAAAATTTGCAGAGAGTTACAGTTCTCCATGCTGTAAAGAGTACTGGAACTCAGAAAGCTCAAGGATACATCCAAGAAATAACTGCCAGATTTTTATCACTGGAATAGAGCAGTGAACGTTTCTAATGTCTGGTGAGGCCAGGTTTTGTCTTATACACACTATTCCAATTAAGCTTAAAATAAATGCTACATACAAATTCTGGCAGCATCATGTTTGATAACTGAAAGCTTGACCACCCTGTAGCCCAGTCCACGGAAAGATGGGCAATTTGGAAGACATCTGACAAAGAGACAACATCTGAGAGAGAACAAGAAGGGGTTCTTCAAATACATCCATAGCAAGAGGAAGACTAGGGAAAATGTCGGCCTGCTGCTGAATGGGGCGGGTGCCCTGGTAACAAAGGATATAGAGAAGGCAGAGTTATTGAATGCTGCCTTTGCTTCAGTCTTTACTGCAGACCCTGGGGACAAGAGAGGAAGGCTGGAGAAAGGAAGACTCTCCCTTGGTTGAGGAGGATCAGGTTAGAGACCTTTTGTCCAAACTTGACATCCACAAATCCATGGGCCCCAATGGGATACATCCACGAGTGCTTCTCTCCTCTGTGGTGCCCAGCAACAGGACAAGAGGCAACGGGCAGAAACTGAACCACAGGAAGTTCCACCTAAACCTGAGAAAAAAAAAAAAAACTTCTTCCCTGTGAGGGTGACAGCATTGGAACAGGTTGCCCAGAGAGGTAGTGGAGTCTCCTTCCCTGGAGATATTCAAACCCCGTCTGGATGTGATCCTGGGCAATATGCTCTAGAGGACCCTGCTTGAGCAGAGAGGTTGGACTAGATGATCTCCAGAGGTCCCTTCCAACCCAACCAACCTAAACCATTCTGTGATTCTGTGATTTCCTTTCTTTTTAAATTAAGGATAGCAGCTGCATCTGACTGCCTCAAGTCCTTCAATTTATGCAACCCTCCAGTGGGGGTTTGAAGCATCCTACAGCAGAAAGCTTCAGGACTTATTCAGTGCTTCCATCACAACCACCTAGCAAGTTATGAAATCTTTTCATTCCTAAAATTTCTTTGCAATTGAAACTTTAAGAGAATCTGACATGTCTGTATTAAGATGTCTCTAACAAGATCCACGTATGGTGGACAATGACAAACTGAGTTGCTATTAATTTTTTACTTGACGTTAAGTGATTTCTTCCCCCTGCCCTCCCATCCCTAGAGTTCTCTCACAAAGTTTAAGAGCTCTGGCTACTGGTCACTAGTCGTCCACTTTATAACCTGGACAGTGGGGAAAAATATTAACCAGCACAATCTCTTCAGAGGTGGCCCAAGCTTGAAGACAGCGTCAGTGCTGTGGGTCTCAATGTTTTATGAATGATTACCCCTCTCTGGGTAGGCAGATCATCATCACCACTACTTTCTGGGGGATAAAACAAGACACAGGTCAAGCATTAAGCGAGACTAGCAGAGCTGGGGACAAAACAAGCCCCAGTTTCCCTGCATACTCATCCAGTGATAAACATCAGAAACCTTAATAAAAACTACAGTTCAGAGGTAATGCTGACACTCAGCAGTCTTCTGACAATAAAGAACGTGGGAACAACTCCCCACTAGTAATCCACTACAGACCGATACGGTATTTTCCTGCAAACAATCCCTCCCTACTCCTAACAAGTTGAGGAAACTACTGAAATCTTCATCTCAACTACTGAGCAGGGAAGGATTAACCACTACCAAAGACTTTGCAAATATTTATTCTCCAAATCCAGAAAAGGAGACAAGCAGAGGGAAAGGCATCTCAAAATCACGTACACACAGACAGCAGCAAGTCTAAGGCTCAGCCTTTTTTTTTTTTTTTTAATTTTTCCAGTGCTAACAACAATTATCATCATGAGTTATAGGCATAATATCTGGAAGACACGGGCAGTAATTAATGCACGTCTGCCTTTTCTGACTAGCTCCTTCTGCTGGGTCAGGAAGAGTTATTGAAATTCAGGGAGGAAATCCTCAATCATGTGGAAGTTTTAAAGAAATAGACCAAGACACAATTCAACAAAGCAATAATATTTCTCTTAAATAATTAACTAGGCTTTGACATTTCCTAATATTCCTGAGGCCCAGCTCTTTCTTTTGCAATAATGCTGGAACAAGTGCACTCAGGGATGTGAGCCACCGTATGCACAAAACACGGTAACCACAGAATAGCTTCAAATAGTCTCTACCCCTGAATTTCTCTGAAAACACAAAAGGGACACCTCTGTCCAGAGCCTTTTCACTCTGTGTTGCTTTTTTTTCTTCCTTTCTTTCTTAAGATTGTCACCTAGAGCCTTAACAGCTCTGCCAAAAGCCACACTGTTTTTACTGCCACAGCTATGCAATTACGCAGCACTTAAACACTCCCCTCTTCCCATTTTGCCCTACCAACATCTATCTTCAGGTATGAGTGCTCAACACTCACCAAGCTCAAGAGAAGCAGCGTTTATCACCCTTTGGGAAAACCTTGGTTTCACAGCAGAACCATCATGCAGTAATAGATGCAATAGACAATCCTAAACTAGACAGAAAGTTATTACAAAAGCAGCATATAGCACTGGATGTTGTCTAAGTGGTATGTTTCCATCATCTCTCAAAAAGCAGATTCTCCTGCAGCATAAACAGACTTTATTCACATACAGAATGCACTCAAGAAAGCTTAATATACTTGCGTATATCGAGAACAATTACTTCAAAGCAACAACTACTTCAGCCAGGCACTGAAAAAACCCTTTGTCACAGACAGTCACCTGCTTAAGCAGCACAAAAGTATACAACAATAGAACATTATTTAACAAACCCAAAACCATAAGGATGATTTTGATGGCCAGTGTAGCCACCAAACTGAAACGCAGCAACGTCACCAAGACGACAGAAGAGGCAATTGGTCAATAAGGCACAACTGAATTTGAAGTTTCGCACCTTTGCTGTTCACTTGAACCACATTATCCCTACAAGAAAAAACCTGTAGCCATGCTACTTCAGACTGGAAACAACGTTTAAAGGGAAATAACAGCCATACCAGTTTCAGAAACTCACCAGGTACAGTCTGTAAGCATCGATCCGTCGAATTGGCCCCCAACACTTATCTGTATCATTATACTTTGTGCCATCGCCAACACTGCAAGAATGGTTGTCAGTGGCACTACTGGGAAAGAAGGAGGGAGAAATAAAAGACAGTAATTAACTCCTGGCAATTATCTTCCCCTCTGCTACATTCAAGAAAGGGGAATGGTAAGAGACACTAAGTGTCCATTCCTCCCTCGCCTCTCCCCCTCAACACATACACACTCCTTGCTCTGTTGCACTGTTCAGCAAACCTAAGTCACCAAAACCCGTGTGTTTAAAGGCAAATCTTGGATTGCCTGCAGTTACTTAGAAGTTTGGCCATCACGTTAGCAGCTTTAGACGCCATATGTATATCACTGAGGCTTGCATTTCCAAGTCACGAGTCCAAATTCGGCCCAGCGCAAATTTGATCAAAACAATCTCTTCCACTAGCAGTTTCTTTGATCATGAGAAAGGAACTAGTCTTAGTCCAAAGCTCATCAGGTAAACATTACAATAACGTAACACCAAGCCTGTGACCAGCTAGTGGTGGTGACTGTCACGCCTCTCAGCTCATACCCTAAGTCACAGAGGAGCTAAATTTTGCACAGGCTACAGCAGTCAAACCGGTGAGCAACCAGTCCCACATCTGCAAGGTGCGGAAGCTGGAAGTACCTCACACCTCTGGACTCATCTGAAGTCAGGTCAGTTACTCTTCAGGCATCTAACAGCAGCTGAGCATGCAGCAGGTACGTGGGGGGAGAATATAAAAGAACCTCACCTTCCCACCTGTTAAGTGGTGAGCTGTCCTCGAGTCATTTTTCTACTCCAGTCTTCAGAAGCAAGACTTGATCCCAATGGGACTCACCACCCCCATCAAATCCAACACACCCACTCTTCACTGTTAGCGCACAACCCCATAGCAGTAAGCACACTTACCAGGTCACTTGCATGAGAGAGACCGGTACAGCTGCTGCGTAGATTGCCAGGTCCCCATAGAGGTAGATAATTATGCAGAAATAGAAGAGGTTGACACCCACTGCAGGAAAAGGGAACATTGTACAGAGAGGGCAGAGTACACACAGATTCTTGAACTTTGCACTTTGCATCAACAATTCACACAGAACTTTTCCAAGATCTTAAAAAATAAAAATCACTGTTTGCCTCTTCAGTTCACTTCTGTCTGCAGCAACCTCCACACAAGGGTCACATCAGCAGCTCAGGGAACTTAGTTACAGCAGAGGAACTGATAGGACATGAGGTGTCTCAGAGTTAAACTCTGCCTTTTAAAATATCTGGTCTTGACACTAGGCCCTCTAGTTTCAGCCCATCCTCTACCAACTGGCCAAGGTCAACAGGTCTCTCGCAAGCCATCCACCAGATGAAGCTGTCAACTTGGAACAGCCCCAGGCAAACATCTAGAAGATGCTGACAGACCTGGCTGCAACACAGCTTCAGGAGCAGTGAAATGAAGAGATAAAGGCATCTTAGTACTGGGCTGACTCTAAACTCTGTGCTTGCAAAACTGCAGGACCTTCACATTAGAGATTTGGCCCCACAGAGCTCAAGTTTCATAGGGCTGAAGTGAAGCTGCTCTGGGAGAGCCTTGAACATCAGCATGCTAAGTCAAGTTTCAAACCTGCAAAGTTTTAAAAACTGCTTTCTGCTGCTCTCTAACATACCAGTGCCACAGACAGGGAACACAGTCTTTCCTGCCCTACGTTGTAGATTTTTCTGGTTTTGTTTTGGAAAAAAGCTTGCTCTGCTTTCAGCTGAGAGATTAAAAATGCCTTATACTTAATTGGGTAGACAAAACAGTCTTACTGGGACACAACAAGACATGGATGTGAAGGGCTGAAATCAGCAGGTATAAAAAGATGCTTCATGAAACACTGGGCTTCTTTTCTTACAAGTGAGTTAGAGTATAAATCTCACCAAGGCAAGACAAATTGGAACATACTTTAGTTCAGAGACGGGTGAGCCATGAAGAGAAAAAAAAAAAAATCTCAGAATTGTTTCATTTAAGAAGTTAATATTAAAGGAAAATTGCTCAGGGAACCTGACCATACTTTCAAATTGCACTGACTGATGCTAAAAATCTTAGTGCAGCTTGGGCAAATCAGTTCACTTCTCCAAGCCTCCCACATGACAACTATCAAACAAGGATGACATTATTGCTGGAATAGGGATTAATATTTCTACAATGCCTGATAGCTCCTGAACTTTACCATGGGTTTTGCCATTTTCTGCCCGTGAATCTCTGGATGTCAGGAAACATTAATAGTTATTCTCCTTCATTTAAATAAATTACTCAAGACGCTGAACATACTTAAAAAGCATTTCTAAAAGGGGCTGTATTTGGAAGACAGCAATACAACTTCCCTACTTCTATAAAGCAATACAGTAAGTCAATATACTAGAAATGTTCCTGGTTTGTCTAAATTAGAACATATTGAGATCTCTAGCCCCTCTAGAAATAGTCAGCCCATTTTATTTATTCCTCCCTTGTTTTCTTCCTCTGCGAAAGGTTTAAGAGGGCTACACAGTTAGGAGTCTCTGCATCATTCTGAAGATGGCAGCAAACTACCTACCAGTTTTCTCCAATTTCCTATTAAAGGAAGTTGACAATTATAACAAGTATCTGACATAGGACAGAAACGTGAGATTCACTAAGCATGGGACTAGCCAGACTCAGATACAGATTCTATTTTGGGGACCTGCTACTGGCTTCAGGCCTCAGTTGGTCCACACACAAAATAAGGTTTACGTGACAAGCCAAGAATTCAAGATAAACCACTCCTCCCTGTGCCAACAGGCATCCTGCCTTTGCTGAAAAAAAAAAAAGTTGAAGGCTTTCCCATGTTGGGCACTTTACTAGAACAGAATTTTGCTTTAGCATTTCTTCCACATGTCAGAACATGAGCACCTCTGGGTACCCACTGGGGCTTTGCTTCTGGGCACACACTCTACCCTTGTTCTAGTGCTGACTTCTGCCTGTGGGAAATCCAGGTGATAGTCCTCTCTGAAACCCTTCCTCTCTAAAGGCAGGAAACTTTAGTGTCAGTTCTTTTACAAACTGCTACTGACCCTCCCCGATCAATATTTTCATTACTGGACACAAAACAGGAAAATCAATGACTTCCTGTGAGGACACAGCACAATAGACGCGCCCAGAATCCATTATTACAATAAATGATTGCTGGATTCCAGAAGAAAGCATCCAACACTGCAAGTTGGGGGGGGGGGGGAGGGGGGGGAAAAAAGACAGTCTTTAGAGCTGGCTCTTTTGGAAGAGCACACCGCAGGCCCTTCACAGGCTAAAAAGTTAAGTCAGCTCCCTTTAAGAAAGCAGACAGTCTGAGGTAAGAGATTTATCCACAGCTTAACTCTCAGAATTGCAGATTCAACTCCTATTAGATTGTTAAAATCCATCAAGGGAAACGAGCAGAGAATTCACTGGAAAACAGAGGTTTTGAGGTCTGTTGCAAAGCCTTCTGAAGGCTGTAAAGCACTTGGACATCTCATCTCTTCAGCCTCACTTTGTATACTGCAAGCAAAAGACAACCCAGACATTTGCTAGCTGTGAAACTGCAGAGCTTGGTGCTTGGAGTCAGGACTTCAAGTACGGCCCAGTTTCTCACTGTAGCTGACCGAGCAACTGCCCTCAGTCAAGGCTTTTCTGTGCCACTGTCAGAAGAAAGCACTTCACAAAGGATGGGCAGAGGGAGGTAAACGTCACTTGTCTCTCTCTGCAACTGCTCAGCACACCAGAGGGCATCTCTGAACTGAGACTCTGCCACACTACAGGGATGGAGTTTCATTTCTGAGCGCAGAGGAGGAGAAAACAGCAAATGAGTAACCCCAAACCCTTAGCTACATGTAACTTTCATTTTAGCTAGAAATCACCAAGAGTTTCATGCTATGGTCTGGCAGCTGTTCCATCTGACTTCCTGTAGAGGGTCTTATCCCTTTGCATTGGGCTGTGTAAGTCCAGAAGAGGATCCCTGACATAGAAATCAGATAACTCTGGCTAAACCAACATTAAGAAGGGAGATTAAGATTTAGAATACTAAGCAATTTTATATCACTCTGCTAGGAAAAGTGCATGAGTGCCTCACAGGAGAGGAGGACATGAACTTCCAGCACCCTCTACTGGCTGAGAAGCCACTAGCATTAAGGCAGAGGGGCCTTCTAGAAGGCAACATTCCCAGCCCCTGGCTTGCTTGAGGGCTCCTTATCATCTCCCTCTATGAAATCCACGCAAAGAGTGGCCTTCTGAAACTTGCTTGTGGGAACACTCTACCACATGGATCCCCCCCAGCCCACCTGCAGCTGAACAGACCTGTCATTATCCACAGCTGAATCCTCAGCAATACTGCTAAGCAGTGTTACATAGCGCTCACTCTCCAAGCACTTCCCAAATATTACTCCCTTGTACACTACTAAGACAGTAAAGTGCTTGCACTTTTTTTTTTTTTTTTAAAATGGTGAAGCAGACAAGCAAGAAAACTTGCCCAAAGTCAGAGCAACTCAGCGGTACAGGCAAGACCAGGAAGAAGAAAATTCTGGGTCCCTAATACATATTCAAGTCACCTCTCTTCCTCTTCAACCAGAAAAGTGGCAGTGAAGTCCAAGGTGTAATATTTTGACAGTCCTAAGTGATTTAAATTTACAAAGACCCAGAAGAAGAGCAAAAAAAGCTTTTTCATCTGAACTTTTAAAACAACAATAACATAGCTGAAAGAGTTCTTATTCCTCAAGCCCAGCTGTCCTTTGAAGGTAACAGTCTTACACTGGCATAAAGCTGGTGTAATGTAGTGGAAAAGACCAGCCTATTGTGTGTTTATAGGGCAGCTAGGGAACAGAAGAAAATATCACTTTCCACAAGAAATGGGGCCTGACGAGTTCAGAACTGTACAACCATGATGTCTGATGATTTTCCTGAGGATAATTACAAGCTTGTTCCCTGATATGCAACAAAAGGCATTCAAAAGCACAGATCAGACATCTGTCTGTTCAAGTGCACACCAGGGACCCTTTCTGATTCAGCAGTTCAGTGTCCAAGCAGCCCTTCTTCTAGGTGAACTCCCCAGGCAAACACAGTTCTCAGAAGTTCTCTCCAGTGGCCTCTCTCCTTCAGACCAAAACTTGTGGGGTTCATTCAGGGAAGCCTGAATGTCTCATACTCAAATGCTATCAGCAAAGTGGGACTAGTGAACTCTGCAGTTTGGCTCTACTGCTTTAGACAGTGAAGATCACAGAGGGTATATGCAGCCCAGAGTTATATTGAGAGCAGTCAGAAGAGGCAGTGACTTATCTGTCTCAAGAGACTGGGCCTACGTCCTGCAATTGTTATTTCTGCTACTGCAGCCTCTCTTATGCAGGTTCTGGCCGATCCAAGTACAAAATACTCTACTTTGCACAAATGCTACACGGGGGAACGAATATAGTCTCAGAGAAGGAATGACACTTGGGTGGAACGTCACATAAACTCAGGATGCAAAATGACACTGAGAAGCACTCAGATTTAAGGAACGATTATACATACAACGTGCAGCGGGACTTTTGAAAACACAAAGCACTTACCTTTATTGAAGAACATGGAAGCCATCTGACCCATTTCCACCCTCTCAGTGATTTCAAAGATATTGGGTGAGCCACGTCTCTCTGCAAGTTGAAAATAAGTGTTTCAACCTGTTACTCCAATAAACCCAGAAGCCAGACTATCTGAAGAGACCCAAGAAGCCCTAGCAACAGCTTTAAAGACAGTATATGACTCTGCAGGTGTGGAGTAGTATCTGTCAAACAACCCTGAAGTTAGTTTAAAACGTTTCCAAAATCAGATATTCTCATCTTAGTGGTCTAGAAGGAAAAGATTTTTATAAGACAGAAGAAGGTAAAGAGAATTCTCAATGAACCTTATTTTAAGGAATTAAATGGACAGAAGAGTCCTCCTCTACTCACTGGGGCCCACTGGGATGCTGCCTGCAGAGAAGAGGTCTCCGATCCAATGAGAGCATGAACTGGGTACTTACGAACTGAAAGGATAGGTCGTGTCTCTGCTCGCTCATAGCCATCTTGGAGGAGAACATCACTGTCGGATACTCCAGAGGAAGAATCCTCATCCTCATCATCTTCCTGGTAGAAGAGGAAAGAAAGAACACAGCTGAGTCTTCTGCTACCCACAGCACAGGTTGTGGCACCACCAGTGTCACTGCCTCACTTCCAGCACCTCAAAGGAAGGTCCCAAACAGGGCAGGGCAGGATGGGCTAGTGAGCACAGGTGATACCAGGAAGCCCTTGTGCCTGGGCTTGGGACACGCTAACGGCAGAAAAGGGCACTAGCAAAGCAGGCTAAAGCGAGTGACAGAATAGACTCTATTGTCCTAGCAGGTCATATACACAGGAATAGTGTCCAGTTGGTGCAGTGACAAGTGGCACTAGGAAGTTAGAAACAGCAAGTCTGGAGAGATCTGGTAGATCTGCAGGACTGCAGCAGTGGTTAAAGAAAACAAACAAAAAACCCACTAAATGCATTCATTATTACAGCTGGCCAGATCAGACATGCTTATCTCATAACTCCAACCCACTCACCTGCAGACAGGGATCTAAATCAGTACAAACAATTACGCCTCACATTGATCCAAAAAAGCCATTAAACCCAGGATCTAATAAACCAGAAGTTAGTTTCACAGCAAGGACATACTCCAAGAATGTCCATTCCCTGGGATACAGCCCGAGTGACAGCAAGGACGTTCCAGCTTGTCCTAGTTAAATGACCTGAGATCAGTAAGGATTTATAGACCTCGGCAAACTCCAAATGGCACCAATGAATGTGGAGAGGTGGCAGCCGATACAATGAGCGGCACTTCAGGGCAGAGAGAGCACAATCAGTAAGAAATGTGAGCAGCACAGGAGATTTTTCAAAGCAGGAGCAGAAATTCCTGACTTTAACGAGCAACCCCATGGGGAACTAACAGCCATATTTTATATGGCAAAGTTAAGTACAGTAGAAATTTATTCCTTTATTAGAGTTACTAATGAGGCAAGGCAAAGCCTGCAGAGGAATCTGAGGACAGCCCTACAGGACAAAAGAACGATAGGAGATGGAAAATTAAATCCTGCACAAACCTTGCGTTTTTCCATTCTCTTCCATCGCAACTGGGCGTTTGCGGCAGCCATGGCTTCTACCACAAAGGTGGTAGTCATATAGCTAGAGGGAGAAATTCAACTGATATTAATAATAGTAAAGAACTGTAGCTGAAGAGATAAAGGGAATTATTCTCATTTGTTTTTAGGAGCAGAAGCTTCTACAAAAACCTTTCACCAACTTTTTCCCCACCACTGCCTTTTTGGCATAGTTTTTTAACCCAGTTTGCTGCTCCCCACTGTCCTTGAGATTAAGGTGCTCAAGCAGGGTACAAAATACAACATGCAGTAAAATATAACATACCTTTAGATATAAGAAAATACCTTAACTATCTGGAAGGCATGCTGCTAGTGGTTCAGAGGGTTGGCGAAGGCAAGAGGATTTCCTTTGTTAAGCAGCAAGCTTCCTGTCCCCTTTCTAGGCCATGGGACTAATACAGTACTGTTGTGAAGCTTGTCCTTTAGGGGCCCATAGCACAAGTACTACTGTTCCTGGAAGAATCTTATGAAGGGCATTAAAAGTAAAGCAGCAATAAGACCGATGAACAGATCGCAAGTGCAAGCAGATATGCTTTGCTGGGGGATCATGGGAAAACCTGTCCAGGGAGACGGCTGGAGATACCGATGCTTCTACGCATGAACTGTCACTATCTCAATTAAACAGTCCTATAACAAAAACCTCAAATCAATCTTATTTAAGGCTTTAAAGTAGTTTCTTACTGCTTCAGGAACTGGACTCATTTATCAAGTTCAAATGAGAAATTAGTTTTGCCAAGATAAAAGAGAACAGCCCCGTCCTGAGTCCCAAGTAGCAATTTCTGCACAGATTCTTCTCACGCTGAAGAGAAGAATCCCTAGCGCATCCCTAGAGCGCGCGAGGGAGTCACAAGCATGAGTATGGGAACAAAAGCAACAGGCAAACACAGCTCCCAAAGCACTTAGCACCAGCAGGCAATCCTTTGAGGTCAGAAGAGCATAAGCCTGCAAACCCACATACTGTGACTGTACCAGATGAAACCAAGCAAAATCACATCAGAAGGTACTGAGTTTCATGCACTGACTTCACACTTTAAAAATAATGCATCTAAAAGGAACTGCTTCCAAATCTCCCAGCTACTGGCACTCCCACAATTCACATTTTATCAAGCCTCTAAGACATAGAGCTTCGAGGCATGGAACCTGCAAGCATCAATACATTCAGTACTGAGAGTCGGCTATCTTTATATAGCCGCATCTAACATCAGAAAAGCACTGCCTCCAAGTCAAAGGCACATTCAAACTGACAGAGCTGGTTACCCACAAAAAAGGAACTTTTACATTCCGTTCTTCCAAAGACAGGAGGGGATTTTTCAAAATCAAGCAGGGATTCACAACTCATCGTGAAGATGGCACTGCTATTAATAACTGCAGAATCTCCAGCTATTTAAACATCACTGCTCTATCAACAGCCTTCAGCTCCACCTGCTGCTCCAGCAGGGAGGCATCCGGACAGAAACACACAGTGAACCACCATGGAAATCATGAAACTAACTTCAAGGTCTCAAGCAACAAAGGCGAGAATAAGACGGGCCCAGCTACATAGTAATTTTTCTTGACACTCTTGCTGCTGTCCAGAATATTGCCAGAAGCCAAGAGAAAACTAACACAATCAGTCTGCTTCACATCTGCAAATCACAAGGCAGAGAAATGAACCTGTGTCACTTATGACCCAGCCAGTGTTTGGGAAATCTGTCAGTGACAGAGGCAGGCATGGGATGCATCTGTGGTGAGGACAGCTTCAAAAAAAGGAAGCTGGAAGAAAGGTCCCAGAAGACTCTGGACTAGACAGAAAGTCTTTCCTTTCAGTCAGGAGGGACATAGCACCATATCCTAGATGTCAGCCAGACTTCCACGAAGATGCAACCCTCCAAATAAGATCCACAGGCAAGACGACTGTAGAGATCTCAATGCTCAAGCAGCAGAAGGGCAGAATCACTCAGAAAAGCAGCACTTTAGCACTGTTCTTACAGCTCCACCTAACTGAAACCCCCAGTCTGCTAAAGATACATACCTCATAAAGCCCAGAAACATTAGGAGAACAAGGCTGACGAGCCACCCTGCTGTTGCAAAGGCCTTCGGCATGGTTAGGGCTCCTGTCCCAACGATGAGGTTGAACATATAAACCAGACCAACCTGCAATCATCCACATAATCCAATATCAGAGCTTGCAGCTGTCCCAGAGATCATCCAAGACACCTCACAGGCATACTAATTTAAAGGGAGAGAACAATCTTTGAGAGCTAGCAGAGAAGGAGCAAGTCTAGGCTAGAAACAAATACAGAAGGAAGGGGTTGATAACCAAAGAGATTGAAGTGAGTTTCAACATATTTCTGGGGAAACTGGTATTCCCTCTCCATTTTTCTACTTCTTTTCAAAGCTTATATGGATTATTTAATGAAGTCGCATTTGGTCACATATCTATCACTCCAGGGGTCTCGGAACAGGAAGTGCAGGTATGCTCAGTTCTATGAAATCCTTCATTCAACACACCTTTGGAAACTTAAGAGTTGCATAAATGTGACCTCCAACTACTCCAGACAGTCAGTACCATCACCATGGAGTTAGAGGAGATCACCCCAAAGAAGGCGGCCTCACCTACTTGAATAAAGAAAAGGAGCACCTCCATCAGCTGCCATGGTGAATTTAACATTTACGCACAGCGCTGTCCAGTCTAGAAAATGGGTGGCAGCCAGGCGAAACAGCACTTCCCGCTTGAATTTTAATTAGGATTCACTATCTTTGAAGATTGGTTGGGCAAAGCAGAAACAGTGTTTCTGACTGAGGGGGGTAGCCACAAAATCACACAACTCACGCTGGTGACTAGATGGCAGTTTAAAGTGGGTTGCTTGGGGTACAGACTTCTCTCACTCGTGATCTTTGCTTGAAAGCTCAAAAGAAGAAAGCGTCAGCACCCAGGAGGATTAGCTATGTCCCAGTGGAATTACTCATACTTCCCCCAAAACTACACATATGCTCTATGAGTTCCAGTCATCACCCAGCAAGAGGAGAAAGCCCACAGAATATGTGAGGAGACACTATTACGTGTAAAGACAAGTTTACCTCCAAAAGATACTTTTAAAGTTAGAAAGCACATGGGCATTTTGTGTTGTTTTCAAATCCAATACCTTCTACCAGAAGGGCCTATTATATGGGCCTGGGTCTCCTTATTTTCTGACCTCAACCTAAGTAGTTATGACCGCATACTAAAGTTCCTACTAAAATCTCTTTTTCTTTACCCTTAGTCAAGCAGGAAATATACAAACAGAATTGTAACTCAATGCCTGTTTGCCATTTTACCAGGAAGCAGCTGAGCACACTCTGAAAAAGGGATATCACTTACGGAAGGAGAAGGATTTCATCCTCTTTAGCAACAAGCTTTTTTCTGACCAGGGCAAAAGGTAATTGTGCACCTGGACAGGACTGTCCACGACCCCAACATTGGAAATTTAGCTAAATTCAAGATGAAAAACTGCCCCCAAAGTTTTTTTTAAATATAAGTCAGAGTCTCTCCAGAGGAGAGCTGGTAAAGAACTCTACCCAAGTACACTTTCCTGGGTGTGGAACACCCTGGAATCTCCTGATTAATATCAGGAGAATTTTTCCTCAGAGATCCCGCGAGCACTCCTGCCTTACGTTCACTGACATTAGCATAATAAATTCAACTTTTGACTGGTCTCTAGAAGGGCCACAATCAGCCATTACAGCTCACAGGAAAGTTCTCTTCATTCAGCTGGCAGAGCTGTCATTTCCCAAGCACATCTTATGCTCCAAGCGCCCAGGGCCATCACTCGCTCTTCTGTGAGGGACACTTGAATAAAAACTCAGGTGATTTTCCTTGACTTTGGTCAAGTAGACACAGAGATGAGAACGATACCTGGGTATTCAAGCTGGCTAGACATCTTCAGGGAAAAAGGAGAGAGTGCTACAGCCTTTTTGGTGAGACTCTAGGAGACTTCTGCAATACCAACATAACAACATAAGAGCAGGTGACACTAATCCTTTAGGGTCCAGATGTCCCAGTTACTGTCCTGTTCTCTCTCCTTTTTCACTTGTAGTCTATTTTTGCAGCCTAATATCCAGTTCTTCTAAATTCAGTCACTAGCATGGAGATGAAAGTTTTAAAGCATTTGAAAGCCAACACTTGGATTTCAGCACTGCTTCTATCTTGAGTGATTTGTGAATTCACTTCAGAAAAAAACGTTTGCAGAGCAAGTGGCCATACTGTTTTTAAGAACTGACGCTGTGTGAACACCTGCGGCTCTGATCACCAGTATTTCCAATAATGTTGTAAACTACTAATTAGTTCTGCAGAAAAAGTAAAGTGGGATTGTTTCCATGTCACAATTCCCCCGGCTTTTCCTAGCCTCACGTGATAATTTGGGCTGATGAAAACACTAAAGAATATATACAAAGCGAGAACAAGAGCTGAAACAGGATTTGAAGCTATTCTTAACGCATTTAGAACCATACCTTAAGCAGGCACTGTCCCCTTACAATATGTAAAGGGATCCATGATGTAAAAAAATACAAGTACTAAGCATTATAAGCAGCTTATGCCATGAAGACATGCCATCTCTGAGACCCTGCAGTAAGATATCCCATTTTTAGTCATGTTTCTGACTGTAATTGCAGCAAATCAAGCTAAATTTTGTAAGTGTCTCAGAGACAGGAAATCTTTATTTCATAGGTTCTTGGGACTTTTTCAGGACAAGATACTACAGGAAAGAAACTAAGCTATTTTACCACCCTTTGACCTCTATCCTCCATTATCTCTTGAAATACTGAAGTTATGTTCATGGGGAAGTAGGAAATGAAAACACAAGTAATACTGAGAGAGGAGGATTTTGAAGAGACTACTAAGCAAAAACTCAAACAGCAGCCATGGGCCAAAACAGCAATACTTACATAAGGAGAGTAAAGCTCTCCAGTATCAGTAATGCCACCGGCCATGTTGAAGACGGTGGGGAGGCTCAGAGCAGAACAAGCACGGAGTTTTCAGCCTCCGCTGCCTTTAACCTAAGGAAACATCATAAAGTTTCATCATCTTTTTCAGAAAGAGTAGGAACTCATGAGTCAACTGCTGCACACTGGTTCTCTGACATTTGAACAAAAGAGGATTTCAGTAAGACATTGCACTTAAGACAACACACAGATATACTCCATGCATATGCAACACTTGGTTCAATCAACTGTGAAAAGTTCTCTGCGCCTGTTAAACTACTCAACAAAGTAATCAGAAAGCAGTGTCCTTCTACAGCACACAGTGACCTAAATTCATCTTCCCAAAATAGCCACAGGGACTGTCGCAGACACTAAAACCTCAAGAGGAAGAATGCCTGCCTTGAGGATGATTTCATACTTCTGCTTCTCACAAAGGTAGTACTCCTAAAGAGCACGTGCCTCCTGCAGATCAAAGTAGTAAAAGATAGCCCACAATCTCTCCTCATTATCGCAATACGGAAAAGAGCAGACAAGTGAAAGTACCGAACCTTGGAAAACAAGACATTTCGTTACACACACCAAGGCTTCTATAGTAGAAGCATTCAGGGAAATTCACATCATCTGGAAGAAACTACTGGGGGGGGCGGGGGGGAGGAGGTACCCCAATGTTCTGAAATATTTATAACTCAATAAATAAGTGGTTGTAGTTGAATTATTTAAAAGCTTTATCAAACTCTTTATACTTCTATAGTACAAAGCTTTGCTCCTCGTTAGTTATAACAATTGAGACAATTCATCAGCACAGACTTCACGCGTTAAGAATGCTGCTCAAAAAACAAGCTGGTTGTACACTTTTCACTTCCTCACACACAAAACTACAGAAATCAATTAGCAAGTACAGTCCTCTGTGGTCATAACTAGATTGGCCCTCAGAACAGTAGAGGAAACTCTCTTTCACTTGATCTAGGCTCAAGTCACCAAAGCCAAGAATCAAGAACAAGAGGTAAGCCTGCTACGCACTAATGGACACCTCAGGGACAGGGCTACGAGGAAGCGTGCTAGCATAGGGCAAATTCTGCCCATGTATAGCACCAGCAACATTTGAGTTACTTAGCAATCACTAGAGAGGGAGAGAGACAGAGAGAGAGAGACAAGGCAAAGATTCCCAGGACATTCACACTACTTCAAGTAATGGACTGGGGGAGGACAGGGAGAAGTCAATCTATCAGAGAGGCCAAGATAAGAAACTGCAAAGAAAAGAGCCAGTGCTGTGTTTTGCAGTGACCAGCCTGGAACACACACAAGTGTTAAAAGCCACAATCCACAACAGAGCCTCAGCCGGGCAAACTTTGCCACTTATGACAAGGAGGGGCAGATCTTGCCCTAACTGAGCCATTCTTCTGCAGACAGCAGCCCCTCATCCCCTCTCCCCAGGGGGACACCCCATCCCAGGAGGGGCCCTACCCACCCCCAAGGGGGGTGCATCGAGCCTCCCAGGGCCCCACAGCTCTGCCGCCATAGCCCTGTGGAGAGAAACCACCTCCCAGCTACCTGGTGCCCAGCCATATCAGCACTTCAACACTGCTACTAACCCACAGCCAACTTCTCCAACCCCACGGATCCCCCTCTGCATGCTCCCCGAGCCCCACAGGCCCCCTCTACAGCCCAGTGGGCATCCTTCCCAGCTAGACCCTCCTCACTTCAGCTACAGCTGCCTCCCCAGGCCACCCCACATGCCATAGGGACTCTTTCTGAGCCACCCCACATCCCCCTCCACAAACCCTCTCCCGGCCACCCCATATATTGCCCCACAGGAACCCTGCTAAAGCCACCCCACAGTCTCTCCCCAGACCACCCCACATCGCCCCCCTTCACAGGGACCCTCCCCAAGGCATTGCACAGCCTCCCCACAGACCCTCCCCAGACCACCCCACATTGCTCCCCCAAGACACCTCACAGCCCCCCTTCCCCACAGATCTTACCCAGACCGCCCCACAGGGACCCTCCCCAAGACACCCCACTGCCCCCCCCCACCGACCCCCCCCACA